TCACCAATCTTTATCACTATCTACATCCACACACATTGGCCAAACGTATTCCAAAACCCCCCCACCCCCAAAAAAAAACAAAAAAAAAAAAAAACAAAAATTTTACTTAACAACAAAAAAAAAAAAAAAAAAAATAAAAAATATATGATTATTAAAAAAAAAAATTAAGAGGAATAAATAAATAAGCAATATTAACAAAAATGTTAGGAATGCAAAATTTGTAGATTAAAAAAAACCTAGGGCAACAAAAAAATAATATGAATAAGTATTTAAATTTTTTTGTAGTTACTTTCATGGCAAATATGCCTTTTCTTAACAAAAAAAAAATCCAAAATATTTGTGAAATTCGCACTGCAAATGCAAATTTAAAATTGGCTACGATTTTCTTTTATTGGCGAGGCAATAAAACACTGAAAAATAATGACAAATCAAATTAGATTACAAACTTGTATTGAAAAAATAAACTCAAAAGCACTGTAATTGCAGCTGAAAAATACAAAATGCAAAATTCGAAAATCGACGTTGAAAATCAATAAAATTAAAAGCAGCAGTTGCAAACTGAAACTACAAAAATTCACTGGGACCTGGAAAAATTAAATTTAAATACAAAAAGGTAGCCCTAGCAACAGCAGCTATTACTTAGAGCTGAACAATTTAAAACGAATCAAATGCAAATGAACCAAAATTGCCTAAAAGCGATTGGCAACGCTGCGCTGATGCAATATAAAAATTATTAATTTGCAAACAAGCAACAACAAAAAATTTACTAAACAAGTAAAACGAAATGCCAAGTGGCATCGAAATAATTCGGTTGTTCAAGCTACCTACTAGACCCAAACAAATAATTTTCAATTGAAAAAAAAAACTGTAAAAATTGTTAACAACTACATATTTCTAACGGAAAATGGCAAAACAAATCAGCAACAAAAAATTAATTTCTTACTAAATTCATACGAATTTGAAACTTCTATTGACTCGACTCTACTATCTACTTGTACTTCCTACCACTACTCCACTCTTTAACGCTCTTTCACAACTCTCTACTACGTACTACTCGTATACTCACTCTACTACTTTCTAAACCATTTTGTACGTGTCTTGTATGTATATGTCTCACATGTATGTATGTATGCTCTTACTGCTACTAGCACAGCGAAATCCACCAACTAAAGCATTTAGTTTGAAATTCTTATAACAATAATCTGGACATTTTGCGAAATTTGCCATTTCGTCAGCGTCGCACATACATACATACCTACAAATCAACTTGAATATGTTACATTATGTAAAATGGACATATGCACATGTATTTCTGATACCTGGGTGTGAAGCTGAAACTGAACAAAAAATGTTTTTCCTTTGTTTCTTTCTCTTTTTTTCTTTCTTTTGTTTCTAATTGCAGGAAGTAAGTAGAGAAAATCCCTAAAATGCAAGAAACATGACAAAAAAACCAATGAATAATAAACAGAGTATACAAATATGAGCCACAAATATACACACCTACACATAAACGCGTTTATTTTTTAGTGTTGCAGTGCTACGATAAATATGAGTAGATGAGAAGACAGTAAAGAAATTAAGAAAAAAAAAAAATTAAAATAAAAAAATTAAGAAAAATTAAAAAAAAATTAATCATAAAAAATTCTCAAAAAAAAATCACAAAAACTTTGAAAAATATCATAAAAATGTATGTAGAAACCCATACACAGCTACTCTTATGTATGTATGCACTTGCAATGAAGTAGCACACTTTTAGGGGACATAGTGCGCTATTGAGCTGTCATTGCAGCAGTTTTCAGGAAATTGTTATTTTTTATGAATACAATTGAGTACAACGTTGCCACTATAAATTCTCGCGTCTATATATATGTACATATATTTGTATATAAACTTATAGCACACAAAATATACATACATTTGAAAATATATACATATATGCAACTAGCAAAACTTATTGTAAATATGCATATCATTAAAGAACAGCGCCGTTAGCAACAAACTAGATTATTTTTCAGCTAATTATTATTCATTCTACACTGAATTAAATACCTAAATGAGATCAAAGTAAATAAGGAACATACAAAAGTGCTTGCCAATTTTACAAAACAAAACCAACAAATAAAAAATCGACTTTGTAAAATCCGTTACGAAGCGTAAATGTAGCGCACTGTTTTTTTCTTTTGATTTATTTTGAGACACATCTATTTTTGACTCGTTTGCATAGTGTCCTTACTTTTTTCGAAAATAGTTTTAGCTTTGAGTTCAAGCATTCGTTTGTTTATCTATATACATATATGCATAATATATACATATATATTTATATATAGTACATATACATAAACGTTGTATATACAAACATACATTTCAATACATTTACATAACTCTCTTTATATACTGTATATTTACCACGTATATATATAACACATTTTTAAACAAATATTTTTTTTTATATTCTTTCTTTTCGTCAACGTTTACCTTTTTTGTATTGTTGCGTGTGTGCGTATCTTGCAAACTCATGCGATTTTTTGTAAATGAATACGCCAAATTTAAACAAATGTAAAAAAAAAAACAAAAAAATATTTGAAAAAAAAATTAAACATAAACTACAAATGCGTTTTTGCTAACACGCAAAAAATATCGAAACACATCACCAAATAAATCAACCAACCAACCACACATCCTTCACTGTGGATATGACAAAAAAAAAAAAAATTATGAAATTAAAAAACAATTTTTGAAAATTTAAAACAAAAAAAAAAAATTTTGCAAATTTTATATCACACACAATTCAATCCAATCAATCCATCCACAAACTGTTTGCAAATGCCTCTTATGAAAACGTAGAAAGCCACCTCAAACACCAGCCGAGTAAGTGTTAGAAAATAAAGCAAAAAAAAAAAACTGTTTATAAATATTTTTAGTATTTTTTAATGTTGTGCACTCACCCCACGCCAAATTGGCTGCAAGTGAAGCGCTAAAAGCAAATTAAGCGAAGCAAAAAAAACGTGCCAAACGAGAACAAAAAACTGTTGCAAAAATTGTTGCACAAACTATCAAATTCGGCTACAAAAAGTAAAAAAAAAAAAAAACAACTTTCCATAAATTCAACCAAAAAGTTTTTTTAAACACGAATTGCTGCACGTACTATACCGAGACAAATAAATTTAAATTCAGTTGAACTTCGCTTGCAGCCATGTAAAATTTCCTTTTGCCAAAAGCCACAATTCCCATGTTTGTTTTTGTAATCTTGCTTTATGTGTCATTTGTTGTGTGACCCAAATCCATGCAAGCTACCCTCAACCGATATAAGTGCAAAATAATTTTGTTTAGTTAGTTGATTTAACCATTTTTGTACTCACCCAAAACAGTAATGTTTGAGTGTTGAACCGATAAGCAACCAAAAACAAGCATAAACAACAAAAAAAAAAAGCAACAAAAAAAAAAAAATAATAATAATAAAAATAACCAGCTATAAACTGCCCATCCATGTCATCCATGTTATCAATGTGCATTTAGTCTATTTGTTATATGGCATGCAATAAGGCCTGCTCGGCTCCATCTTGTACATACAAACACATACACATTTTAGCACCGAATTCTTAAGGCGATTTTCGGCTCTGAGCTGCACTAAAGTTGACAGCGCAAAGCAAAAACAAAAATTGCAAAAAATTATCATTCAAATCAAGTACTTTTTGTAATCGTAACATTAAAATTCTGTGTTGTAATTGTATGTAGATATGTATTTAATGCGAACTTCATGTATGTGTTTATATTTATGTTGTTATCGTTATTGCATATTGGTGTATCGTAGACGTGCATTTCTAAAAGCTATCTTAGACAAGTCAATAAATGTCATTCGTGTTAAGTAAATACCATTATTTTATATACAAAAATATATAGTAATTATTTTAACTTTCCGATTTGAGTTTCAAGGGATGACAGTTTTAATGTGTGTCAAAGTTGCGGTGAAGAAAGTAAAAAACAAATAAAACAAAATAAAAGGAAAATCTAATTAATTTTATTGTTAAAATTACATAAGTAATTTAATAGCACCATCGTTGCATCAACAATACATGTAATGTTTACATAATGGCAGTCTTAAACAATGAAAGTTATTAAGATACTACAAAAATTTCTAAAAAAAAGGATTTTAATTGTATGTTTCTAAAATGTAATTATTTACATGTAATCAAAAAGTAATTACAATTACATAATAGTAATCTTTTACAATAAAACTTTAACTATTAAAAAAGAAATTTAATTGCACGTAATTAAAATATAATTATTAACATGTAATCAAAAAGTAATTATAATTAAATGATTATTACATACTTTAACTTTTTTGAAAATACATACGTGAAGTTAAACAAAAAAACATAATTACATTGTTAATTACTTTTATGATTACATTTTGTTATTAAAATGCAAGCACAGTGTAGACAATAGTGCAATTACAAATAGATTTGAAATATTTCAATGTTTCTGCAAATTACTTTTTAAATAATTTTTAATTTAATTACTGAAAGCAATCAAAAAATTGTTTAATATTTCAAATATTTTAAACGTCACACAAAGCGACAAATAATAAAGAAATAATAGTACAAGTAAGTTCGAATAAATTTTTAGTTACAAGTAAACATTATCATTACAGGCAATTTCTAATATTATAATTATTACATGTAATGATTACTATATTGATATTGATTACTTTTGCAAATATTGTAGCCAAACTCAGTGACAAACACAAAATAGTAATTTATAATTTTGAAATGATTACCAGTAATTTAGATTTTGTAGTGATTACTGGTAATCATTATTATAAAGTCAATAACAAAGTAATCATGCTATACTGCAGTGAGAAACCATCACCAAATTGTCATCCCACTGCTCAGTAATTTAATTACAAAAATTTATAATTACAAATTTTTGTAAGTAACTCTAGTCAAGTATAATATATACATATATATACTTTCCATCTTTTGTTTAACCATTGCATTATATGTGTTCACCAGTAAGCTATATGACATACAATGACACTACTCACACATACTCATACTTAAGTATTACTTACTCTCTTACTACTTATGTACGATTATCAATACTAAAAGTATTTGAAAACCAAATGTTAAAAAAATATCTAAGAATGTATATTTAACAGAATTTAAATGCCTTACTCTCAACTACTCTCTTATACTTTAAAATGTGAGCTCGTAAAACCGCTATTTTACCTTGCTCTGACCTATTTAATAACTATAAAAACACTGTAAAAACAACAACTAATTTATTGTTTATCTCTTTTTCCCCCACACTCTTTCTCTATACTTGTTTGTGCGGTACACTTAACAGAGGTGAGGGTGATCCAGAATTCATTAAGCGTCAGGATCAAAAGCGCTCCGATCTCGATGAGCAACTGAAAGAATACATCAATGAATGGCGTAAACAGCGTGCCAAGGAGGAGGATGAGTTGAAGAAGCTCAAAGAAAAACAGGCCAAGCGCAAGATCTCGCGCGCCGAAGAAGAACAAAAGATGGCGCAACGCAAGAAGGAAGAGGAAGAGCGTCGCGTACGTGAAGTTGAAGAGAAGAAACAGCGCGAAATCGAAGAGAAGCGTCAGCGTCTCGAGGAGGCCGAGAAGAAGCGTCAAGCTATGCTGCAGGCCATGAAGGACAAGGACAAGAAGGGACCCAATTTCACTATTGCCAAAAAGGAGGCAGGCGTGGTAATCCTTTCATTCTAATGCAATGCCTTATACTTATATGTGTTCCCTTGTTTTGTTTCTTCTCTTCCTATTTGCCGCTCTTACGCTATCCATGTCTCTTTCCATTTCCATCTTTATCACCAATCTTTATCACTATCTACATCCACACACATTGGCCAAACGTATTCCAAAACCCCCCCACCCCCAAAAAAAAACAAAAAAAAAAAAAAACGAAAATTTTACTTGACATCAAAATTGAAAAAATTGTGTTTACGTGAAAAATTAACAAAATTAAATCTTCCGAACCAACTTACACACTCCAATAACCTCTTTGCTTGACTCACTGACCATTACCTTCCAATAATCCCATGTCTTTACCGTGCCCAACAACTTTCCTTTGTGTCTTTCCTTTGTTATTTCGTCAACTTTGCACCAAAAACGCAAATGCTTCTGTTGTTGTTCGATTCTACAACAAAAACGAAAACAAACACAAACTTCACAAACACTCTTTCGTGTTTATCTTTCTATCTTTCACTTTTATTTACGCTTCACAATTTACTTCTGCATTACAACCGACTCTCTATGGTCCATGCCATACTTCGATCATTATGGTCTACGCGATTATGCTACTATGTGTTTCATCATCGCAAACCAAAAACCACCGCAAAAAAAAAAAAAAAAAAAAAAAAATTAAATCGAAACAAAACAAAAACCAAACAATCATATAGTTGGGACTCTCATCCGCTGCCATGGAGCGTAACAAGACTAAGGAACAATTGGAGGAGGAGAAGAAAATCTCTTTGTCGTTCCGCATCAAACCTCTGGCCATTGAAGGTTTCAGCGAAAGCAAATTGCGTGAGAAGGCCCAAGAACTGTGGGAACTCATCGTCAAATTGGAAACTGAAAAGTATGACTTGGAAGAAAGGCAGAAACGTCAGGATTACGATGTGAGTAGCCAAGCATATAAGAACTTTAAGAAATAAACAAAAGTGAAACTAAATTTCATCATTACTTATGCAGTTGAAAGAATTGAAGGAAAGACAAAAGCAACAGCTCAGGCACAAAGCCTTGAAGAAGGGTCTCGACCCTGAGGCTTTGACTGGCAAATACCCGCCCAAGATTCAAGTCGCCTCCAAATATGAGAGACGTGTAGACACACGCTCATATGACGACAAGAAGAAGCTCTTCGAAGGTGTAAGTATCTTAATTCTAAGAAAACTCGTACGAGCTACATTTATTTACTTTTGGGTAGTTCAAGGGGTTGATATTCATTATAAAATACGTTATAAGACTATAGTTCTAAACATATTTTATGTATTCTTCTACGAAGGGTTATAATACGCTTTTCAAAGAGGCACTCGAAAAGCGCTGGCAAGAGAGGCAGGAAAGATTTACGTCGCGAACCAGATGTAAGAATACAAATCGGTTGTGTGACTGCCGAAGCTGAGACCTTATACCAACATGCCTGTTCATTTAACATGACACAAGGCTTGGCGTGGGGTCTCATTTTTGCAGTAGCCTGTCCTTTATGTATTTGTCAGTGTTGTGTTCGAAGAAAAATTAACCAAATGAATTGTTTGTGTGTGTGAATTGTTCTCACAAGAAATGCGCTTATAGTTTGAGTGCTCCTCTATGAGTGTAATCACTGGAACATGTTGGTATTAACAATATATTTTTCTACTAAATTTCTGTTACTCCATCATCAAACATGGAACGAAAAATACACAAAGCCCTACAAATAGTAAACTATAGCGTTATTTGATTGGCATTAAAATATAAAGAGGAAAAACGCACGCTGATTGGTTATTCCAAAAAACAAGCGCTCTTGAGCTCACTCAAAATTTTGGGAGTGCCACAAAACAAGCGCTCTTGAATTCACTCAAAATGTTGGGAGTGCAGTGAGCGTTCTAGTACTAAGTATTTTAGGATGCATTTCATCTCTACAGACTCGCTCTCTCTTGTCGCATGTATTACGTTCTTTACACAAAAAAAAAAAAAAAAAAAAGATTATGAAAGTAAATTGTTCTGAATTGGGTTTAACGGTAGTTTTAGCAGTTACCTTAAATTCGTATTTTTAAAAAGAAATTTTTACTCAAAACTTTATTTCTACACCTAAATCTTGAACACCAACATTGTCAATAAATTATATATTTATACACATAAGATCTACCTTGAGTCAAACACATCCAAATACATACTCCTTACGCATTCTACTACAATCATTGTCTTTCTCTCTCTCTCTTTTTGCTCTATTTCACTTGAACTTGGATTTTTATGTATGCATTTGTTACGTGTTCCGTTTTCGTCTGCATCCAAACGTAAACCACAAACACAAACAACAATAACATAAAACACATGTGGCCAATAGGGCTGGGAAGAAATCGGCAAGGAGGTGAATGAGAAGATCTGGAACGAGAAGAAGGATCAATACTCAGGCCGCCAGAAATGTACGTATACCAAAAAACAAAAACCAAAAAAAAAAAAAAAATATGTGCTAACAAGCATAGATGCCTAGAACTTGCAGATTCTTTACACTTCAATACAACTCTGAAAACTATTGCTCAATGTTTTGTCTTTTTTGGCTAATAGTTAACTGGTTGTTAACCTAAAATTTAATGCGAAATATTTGCTTTTTGACTAAACGCATTATTTGTTTTTGCAAAAAAAACCGTTATTAATTGTTATTTTTCTTTTTCTTATCCTTGCAACGTGCAGCCAAACTGCCCAAGTGGTTCGGCGAACGACCAGGCAAGAAGGCCGGCGAACCCGAGACACCCGAAGGCGAGGAAGATGCCAAGGCTGATGAAGATATCGTCGAAGATGAAGAAGAGGTCGAAGAGGAGGTTGTCGAAGAGGAAGATGAGGAGGCCGAGGAAGAGGAAGAAGAGGAGGAGGAAGAAGAAGAAGAAGAAGAGGAGGAAGAAGAGGAAGAAGAAGAAGAGGAGGAGGAAGAGGAAGAAGAATAAATTAATTTAACTACTTTAATAAAATTTAAAAACAAAGAAAATAGTTATTATTAGCTTATTCGATCAACCAACAAAATAAAACAAAAAAAAATCCAAAAACATATATATAACGAGCGAATATCAGAAGAAGAAGAAGATGCAGTAAAAAGAACATATTTAAATGTGGAAGACTGCTGAAATTGTCAAAGTACCTCTCTCACTCGAATTCGAATTTAAACTCACTCTGACACCTGTCTCTTATACACATCTAGATGTGTATAAGAGACAGAACATATATATAACGAGCGAATATCAGAAGAAGAAGAAGATGCAGTAAAAAGAACATATTTAAATGTGGAAGACTGCTGAAATTGTCAAAGTACCTCTCTCACTCGAATTCGAATTTAAACTCACTCTGACACACTCTCGACTGATTATTCACTCACTCGAACACTCACACACTACAACAACAAAACAGTGACAACATGACGGCATTACAGCTCGCTCTCTCTCTGTCTTTTTTTTTTATATATAAATATATAGCAACTCATGAACAAGAAAAAACGGAGAAAAACAACAATTGTTTAAATTTGTTTGTAATAAATCTTTGAAAATGAGATGAAAATCTTAAATCAGACTTAATATGATAATTACATACATATGTATATCTGTCACATATTTATATATAGTTATATATAAATATTTAATGTTCACGTAGCAGGAAAGGTTGTTATAGGCACAACAACAACAATATACAACTACTTATAATAATATTTATAAGAGTGTAAACAGCAAGCAAGCAGTAACAAGAACATGATTACATAACACCTCTCTCTTAAATATTCCTTTTCATTTAAGATATTTTAATTTTTTCTTATTAAAAAACAAGAAGTAAATAATAAATTATTTTTGAAAACCAAAAAAAAACGAAAAGTAAAAAAAAAAACAACAGAGCGAAAAAGCCTTGAATTTTTGCAACAGCAAAGAGAGCAAAAGCAGAATTGAATAGCGGTATGCCACAAATAGTAAGGAGACTCTCTCTGACTCTCCAGAGCGCCGCTGTGCCATTGAGAATTACTCAACTATTCAAACGGGCTACTTTCATGACACCTGCCTATTGAGCGCAGATTTATTTACATGTGCCTCTACCAAAAATTTGTGCTCAACTCCTAATCTAGGAAACCAGTTATCATTCTCAGCACGCTTTTGAGCGCAGGACTTTCCTCTAAAATTTCCATGAACATTTTTAACGGCCATTGAGCTGCGTAAATGAGTGGTCAAATTTAGTGTTTATAATGAGGGAATGAGCAAAAACAAAAATTACAACAAAAGTCAAAGCAAAATGGTGGAAGAACACTTGTGCTGGCGCTTCAAAGACTAAACTGAAGCGTAAAATAAAAGCAAATCGCTTTTATCGCCAAAGCCCATAGCAGTTACACGAAAAGGATTAGCCGCCACAGCATCGCAGGCATACAAATGAGAACAAAACAAAATAATATACATATATAAAGGATCGGCGAGTATTTCGTAGCTGGCTGTCATTGCTGTTAGTGTGTGTGCGGATATGGTAAGCTCGTTGGATTTCTGGCACACATCAACAATGCTTATCACCAAATGAAAATCAAACTGACAGTCAGTATAAATTCCACAATTTTAGCTCTGACAAAGTGTCTGTGTAATCATACAAAAGAAGATGCACGTAGGCTCAGTAGAACAGTGGTACAAAATGGCCTCAAGTTCTGGCACAACACGCAAAAAAGAGAGCCATTGACCTTTACTGATATAATAATTTGGTACGCGTTAGAGTAATCACAAAAGATAAGACCTAAGACCTAGCTCTCTAGCTGCCCGACTTATAGCTGCGAAGATTGCTCTTAGTTTGAGCGAAGCTGAGTATTCTTATATAAAGTACCTATATATCACAGAACTTGTCTCAAGATTTTTCATACTCAGTGTAAGTCACAAGTGGTTCAGTAAGTCTTTTCTTTGAGTAAGATTCGCCTTTCCCTAACTCTAAGGGTTTTAATCACTCGATAGTCAACACAAGCTTTGAGCCTACTTTTTTAATATGTAAGTATAGTGGTTCCAGTGTGGCAGTAACGTGAATCAAAACAAGTAAAAAACTCACTATATATTAGGATATTAAGACCAACGAAGGATCGGGATCAATTTCATATATTTTTGGCAATACAAAAATCATGTATAAATATATTCCTATCCTTTATTTAGAAAAAATAGTCAACTAGAATAACCAAAATACAGGGGTTGAGTTAATTGATGGTTGGACTTCATCCATTTTTGGCACCAATTTGCAACAAATTAAAAAAAAAAAAGCTATAGAAAGTTCTAAACCCAAGATTTGGAAGAGAGCCCTGAAAAGAGGATCGATACACACCACCTCTTCGTCGATTTTAAAGTTACTTTTAAACACACGTAAAAGATTTACCGTTATGCCGCTATGTTTGAATATGGTATCTCCGCAAAACTAGTTCCGGCTGTGTCAACTGACGTGGAGCAATACAGAACCTTTCCAGGACGTTCGTACCAATCGATATTTCAGACGAGGCATCTACCTCTCGTGCGACTTCTTCAATCTACTGCTGGAAAAAATAATTCGAGCTGCAGATCTGAATAGATAGATCTACAAGAGTGTAAAACTGCTGGCATACACCGATGGTATTGATATCATTTGGCTCTCACCTCACTATTGACAGTCATAGATTTGAAGTTGTTGATAATTTTGTCTATCTTGGAACCAGCATAAACACCAACAACAACGTCTGCTTCGAAATCAAATGCAGAATTACTCTTGCCAACAGTTGCTACTTCGGAATTGAAATTGAGAACTAAAGTCCTCCCTGGTCGAACAAGAACCCACTCTATAAGTTCCTCATTATTCCGGTCCTGCTATATGGTGCAGAGGCATGGACGATGACACTAAATTTAACATGCAATTTCATAATTGTTGCAGAACAGTATCCTCAAACCTCAGCGCCTAATTTATCAATTGGAGACGAAGATTGATACGAAGGAAGACATTGATGCGCTATTAAAACGGTAAAGTGAGACAGCAGCTGATATGAAAATGAAGATGCTGATCAAACGGATTTCAAATTTGTCCATCTGAATCCTTAAAATTTTAATACTCTGCTCTGCAATGTAACATATTCCAATGAGAGCGTTCTGCATCGAACGGAAAAAATGCTAAGTAGTCTAAAAAGAAAAAGTCTGGGCTATAGGGCGGGTGAAGCTAAACTTTCCAGCCGCACTATTCCAAATAATTTTCAAACGGTCTTGTAACTTGAGACCGAGCGTTATCATGATAGGAAATAGTTACCTCAAGACTATTCGCACTGCAAACTCCAGGCATTTTCGGCAATCGATCGCATTAATTTGATGATTCGAAATGTTCTCGCCCGGTTTTAGAAGCCCATAACACTTTATGATCACATCAAATACCTTGGCATTACCTTGGCGTCATGCATATTTGGCTACTTTATTTTCCATTTTTCGTCGTCAGTTGCAATTCGACACAAAAGTGAGTTATTTTTGTGACCTTTAATACTCATTTGGGACACGCAAAATATTCGTTCACAATCTCTTGGGTTCAATTCATATGGCACTCAATGTCCTTGCTTTTTAATGTAACCATCTTGTTGTAAGCTTAATGAAATGACTGCTTGAGTGACTCAAATATTTTTCGAGCTCTTCTTAACTTTGGCAACAATCTTAAGATACTACCAGCTCCTCATCTTCAAACTTTTTTAGCCGATCAGGAGGTTCGTTGGCTTCCAAACCAAAATCATTATTTTAATCGTCCAACCCCTTCTGGCCCGTTTGTTCAGCGATGACTTTCGACTGCGGTTTTCTCCTTGTTAAAGTAATGAATAAAAACTCTCAGAGTTCATGTATATTAGCAGAAATTTTCGCATAGCAAAACAAAAAAAAAAAAAAAATCGGAGGCTTGCCATTGTCTGCAGAGAGCAACAATTTTCCATGTTTTTATAATTCCAAGTCTCAGTCCTACAATCCGCTGAGCACTAGGCACGAATTTCGCTTTTTTTGCGACCACTGACATTTGCTAATCATCCTTCCAATACCGTCGTGACCACAACTCACTTCGCTGCAATTACCACACTATTTGTTGTTCATTTGTCCATTACAATTGCAGTGAGATTAAGCGGATGTGCGCTTCGCAGCACGCGTTGCACGTTGGCGGTGGCAGTAGCTGTCATTTTCCCTCCTTCCTCTTCCCTCCCCAAAGCCAACGACCCATAATCCGTACAAACATGTCGAGTGCATTTACCGCTTAATACACACACACAGAGTAGCTTGCGCAGCTAGCTAGCGCAGTTATGTACGTGCATGTGTGCACTTCGGAGTGACTAGCCGTAGCCGGACAAATAAACATGCGCCAGGCCAACACCGTTTATCACTAAAACCGCAGTTGGCATACGCACGTGGAATTCCATATTTCGGTGGCCGACAAGACGGCAATGCGCTACAATAAATCGGACTTATGCTGCTGCATATATGTAGTATGTAACTGCAAGCTTGTCGTTTTTGTTGTAGTGTAGAGCAATGTTTCACTTCATTGTTGCATGTTCTTTGTTTTTTCGACCGCGTTGAACTCAAGGTGATGAATCACATCACGTCACGTCACGTTATGCACGGCGTCCGCATCCGCAGCCACGTCACTTTTGAGTTGTACAAATACGTTAATAGCACAAGGCCACGAGTGCGAGTTCGAGTGTGAATGACAAAGTTTAAATTAAATTATGCGCAAATAAGTTTACCGCAATCGCAACTGCCAGTGGCAGCACACCTGTCACTCAGTCCGTTAGGACGTGCGTGTGTTCAACAACAAAAATAATATTTTATGAACGACTTACTCGGCCAGCCAAATAAGTCACTTCGGTAGACCAATTATTTGCACATGGAAATGAGTTTCACTGCTCCAACTTTTGAACTTAAATTTTGACTTAGCACGGTCGATGGCTCGCCCTTATCCCTGAGAGAATACAATGTGGAAATGTAATACAGCGGTACTCTGATGTTAAAGTGCTTTGAGTGTAAGTTGCTTTTTACCACAGTTCTTAGGTGGGACATGGGGTCTCAATAAACAAATTATCTTTGCCTGCTTCTATCGGCGAGTGTTTTTTCCGAATCGATTTCTTTCAATGCTGGAGTGTTCTCATCTA